CCAGCTCTGCCATCACAAGAAGGCAAACATTCTGCAGTCTCCTTTTTCTTACTTGTTGTGCTGCTCCAGTTGCTCCTTGCCCTGTACGTTCTCATGCAAATTCCCTCAGTTAAATAGTTTTCTTTCTATAAATTAACTCATATTTTACTCTTATAAAGAATTCTGCCTCGAATTAGTGCTCAGTCAACAATCTAACATGCAGTCGGCCCTCTGTTCAAGGGTTCCTCACCCTTGGATTCAACCAGTGCAGATCAAAAACATTGATGGGAGGGAAGCTCAAGGGCCTGGGGGCACCGCAGGGTCCAGCAGAAGGCAAGACAGGGGTCTTCCTGAGGAAGGGTATGTGTCTGTGAAGGAAGAAGCTCCCAGGGGAGGCAGCTGCACCCCGACAGTGTGGACAGGTGAGGATCTGGGGATTATGTTTGCACAGAGGTCTTGTAGGAAAGAGAACAAAGTTTGTAGGCCCAGGACCTAGCACTACGTGCACCCTGTATGTGCAGGGTGCACAGTCACCCAGTACCTTCCACCTGAAGGACCCCTGGCCTGAGGGTGACCTGCAGAGGGAGAGCGAATACAGCTGTCCTTTAAAGTGCCCACTTTCATGTAGCGCCTCATGTCACCTAACTTGGCCCACCATCACTATTCCACTTCAGAGCAAAACACTGTTCATTCCTGTGCTGCGTTTAAAAAAAAAAAAAACACAACCCACCAAACTCTGGCATTTTATATAAGGGACTTGAGCACCCACGGATTTTGGTATCTGCAGGGCCCTTGGCACCAATCCCCCGCCAATACTGAGGGATGACCAAACAAAAAAAACCACTGTGGTCAAGCGATCCGACTCCTAGTGACCTCACAGGACAGAGTAGAGCTGCCCCGAGGGTTTCCAAGGAGCTGCTGGGGGATTTGAACTGGGGAACGTGTGGTTAGCAACTGAACTCTTAACCACTGTGCCACCAGGGCTCCACAGCATTGTTAACTTTTATTTTAAAATGATTGGGTTAGAAACAAAAAATGTTAAACTTTTTCATCATTAATGGTCTTACTAAAATACATGTTGTTTATTTTACATTTTACAAGATAACCAGTGAAGAAGGCAAATAGATGCGTTTGATATTGCTGATATTGCTGGCTGGCTAATATAGTTAACTCATAATTTCATTCAAATATGGATTATATTGAAAACAATTCTCAGTTTTATTTTCTGTTTTGATTGTCACCTGTCCTTTAGTACTTTGGGGACAGAAATAGAATCTCTGTGTTAACCCAGTAGTGGCTGGCACTACGATGTGTTTTAAATCCAGACTGTTACTTCTGGGTTGGGAAGTGGGAATCAGTGAGATTTTCAAAATGATTAGATTTTGGAATATTGAGTTGTGAGGTGATGTTCTGTACTCCATTTAATGGGACGGAGAACAAAGGGTCAGATCCTAACAGCGTGGTATTTTTTTCTTTTACTTATTTCTAATATTGAAAATATCTAAACACACCCATCTTTAAAAGATAAAAAGTGCCACCCATTCCAGATGTTCACAATTGTTTTTTTATTTTGTCAGTAGGAGGGCACATGCTTAATAATGCACAATTTATATCTAGATTTGAGTTAGAATGGCTTCTTAAAGACTATCTAGTCTAATAGTAGCAAACTGGCTAAATGTGACCTGACATGTTTGGCCTGTACAGTGTTTTAGAGTTTGAATTAAATTTAAAAATTAGATAAGTTTACATAAAAATCCAGATTTAATGTTTCTCTTGAAAAATACAGAAGAACTGTTAACAGTGGGCAATAGCTAATTTGATCTGAGCAGTCGGGACCACTTTTAGACAGGACATACACTCTAGTTTGAGAAAGGTCCCATCTGATCCACTTCACGTATTTGCATATTCATTTGCCTCCCCCAAGAACAACTTTGAGCCCTGGCGGCAAAGTGGTTAAGTACTCTGCTTCTAAATGAAAGGTTGGTGGTTTGAACCGTGGGAGAAAAGACTTGTCCATCTGCTCCTGTAAAAATCACAGCCAAGAAAACCCTATGGCGCAGTTCTACTCTGTCACATGGGGTTGCTATGAGTTGGAATCGACAGTAACGGATTTGCTTTTTTCTTTTTGGTTTTAAAAACAAGTTTGGAACATTTGGTTTAACCTTATAGTATTATAGTATTAGAGGAAGGAAATTGGAACCACAGTAGTTAAATGATTTCCTAAGAGTCAAAAAGTTATTTAGTGGCAGAGCCAGGATTATAATTCAGCGTCACTTCCCTGTCAATCTGTTGAATACTGAGTATGAGTCTGAAAACCTGGCATTTTGTCCTGGCTCCATTCCTTCTGGATCTTAATTTCCCTAACGTTCAGTTTTCACAGTTTTAATGGAAAATACTAGTAATGCTGACATCATGTGATTGTTGCAAAGGCTAAATGTTGTTTGTCATTGTCAGGCTCATACCTGCAGAGAGATTTGAACCACTTCTAACAATGCCTTTCTTGTTGCAGCTGGCATCTCTTTACTTTTTGTCTTTCATTTAAAGTAGTAACTTGTTTTAATGAACTTCTCGGGGTTTAGCACAGATAATGCAATATTATTGTGGAGTTGCTCTGTTATTCAGTATGTTGATACACTTTATAGTAAAGAAGTATTTCGCATAGCAACATTTGTATAGTCTCAAATGATAGGCATTTTTCCACGAAAGTAATTCATGTGCCAGGCACTGTTTACTTACATGAACATGTTTGAAAGTGTTAACAAGAAAAATTAAATGTATGGAATGAAATATTAAAGTAAAATCCTGTTTACATTCAATATCATCTGGCTTTATATTATTTTCTAAAAAATATTTTGTGAATAATGATAAGCAATAAAAAGTGAGACTATGGAGATCTAAGTGACTATTAGTATCCTGCTATAGAATTGAAGTGAGAATAACAAAATAACCTAAGTAACACCCCTGCCTAGTGCCTGACACAAGGAAGGCACACAGCACATTGTTTATTATCTGGAAGGTTTATCTGGTTCAAAACTTTAGAGATTTATTTTATTGCCACTTAAGGAGAGTGTTTACTTTAGTTTTATTTTTTCAGAGCACCTTCAAGTTTAAATCTGAGAGCGATATTCATCTGGCAGAACATCATAAACAGGTTCTATATGATGGGAAACTTGCAAGTAGCATTGCGTTTACCTATAACGCTAAGGCGACTGACGCTCAGCTTTGTCTGGAATCATCACCAAAGGAAAACGCATCTATTTTTGTGCACTCCCCACATGCCCTAATGCTCCAGGTGGGTGAAGAGGAGCTTAGTTTTCACATGCTCATCAGCCTAACAGTTTCTTCGCTGCCCACCTGTGTGTCTACATTCTATACTTGCTCCCATTTTTTGTTTTGTTTTCGTGTGGGTTTTTTTTTTTTTTTATTTAAGTTTTTGTTTTCTAGTTCTTTTAATGCAGTGTCTGCCTTCTGCTTATCTCTTTCTCTTTTGGGGTGGCAGAGTGGGGCAATATAATTTACTGAGCCTTTATTCCTTAGTAGGAAACCTGTCATATCTATTATTTTATGGTTCAGTATCCATTGAAATAAAATTGATTGATTAGCTGAGTACATAGTTGTTAGAGATATAAAAATACAGTTTAAGTACTTTTTACTTAATATTGTCTAACATAAAAATTACCTGGAAGTCTTTAAATCCATTAATAGTATTTCTTATTCTAAAACATCTTATTTTGATTTACAGCTTCATATTGTAGGTGTAAAAATACTCAACTGAAGAGTTAAAGTTTAGTTGAATTTAAAAGAGGTTAACAAAAATACCGCAATGTTCTTATATGTGTATTAAGTTGTATAATTGAGGGCTTTAAAAAATATCAAGGTATGTTATTTACTTCTCTTATAAGAATATTTTAGACCAGGAAATAGTAATGAAAATTATGCTATAAAAGTTTAAAAAACGTTTTTGTTTTTGAACATAGGATGTGAAAGCTATAGTAACACATTCAATTCATAGTGCAATTCATTCAATTGGAGGGATTCAAGTGCTTTTTCCACTTTTTGCCCAATTGGACAATCGGCAGCTCAATGACAGTCAAGTGGAAACAACCGTCTGGTAAGTTTCTTTGAATGTACAGTTGCCGATATTTTCTGCTCTCATAGATCATGAATGGTGTACTCATTGCCTTGTAAAAGTAATACAATATTTCATTTTTGTCCTTTAAGGGCCAATAACAGATCCTTTAGAACTAAGGCAGATATATACTTACACAAAATTTAGAAAATGACATTGAGATTCTTATAACCATAAAGGACTGGCTTCCTTGTTAATAAATAAGTTCTCACCCGATGTAGCATAGTAACTACAGTATGTAGTTGAGGAAGTAACAGTGCTGACCTTGGCCTTTGCAAATGCTCATGGTTTCAGTTGTCCTCTCAGATTCAAGAAAATTGCTAGGATAAAGGTTATTTGCAGGAAGAGTATTTAGTAACAGTTACATAATTCATATCTTAAATAGTAGTGTTATTTTATAATCATCTTATCCTGACATATGTCTAGCACAAGATTGACATTACAGACCTAACCAGTGGCATATCCAAGTCTATGTGAAAAATAATTATCTTCTATTGAGGTTGATTTCATGTACAATTTTTGTCACTTCCCTTATTTTTATTACAGAATACCTTATGCATCAAACTCTGATTTGATCTTATGCTTTAGGATTATGCATGTAGGAGGTTAAATATGAAATTATAACAGCTATTTTGGTTGTTAACATTGTCATGTTTAGGGAATTAAAGGGCAGGTTATATAGGCAAGGGTTGGTTTTTCTCCAGCAATAATGTAGGAATGCTTCACTAGTATGTTGTACACACATACCCATGATCCTTCATAGGTCACACAAGTGTGAACTGATGGAAAAACTAGTGAATAAAACTAAGATGAAACAAATTTAAGATCTAATGGAATATAGTACATGAGTTTCTCATATTTATTACTTAAATTAGCTAGTAACAAAATTAGTATTTCAAAAATAGTATTTCAGTACTGCTAATAATATTATTCCTATATTAGGGGCATCTTTGTGCAGAGTGTAATTCTGTCCAATGGTTATGTATTCCTTATGCCAACATAGTGTAAAGGCTGGAGTTTTACAAGAGAAAAACTTTGGAGTGGATGGGAATCCTGAAGTCGTGCCCTGTTGTGATAATGCTTTGCTGTAAGAGCTTAAGTAATTTCACCAGGAGGCAGAACAGCCTAGTGGAAAAATCAAAGTTTAACTTCCAGTTTTGGATTTAAATTCCAAATGTTTTCCTATTTATCATCTAAGTGAACCAGGACACATTATGATCAGTAATTGAAAAGCTAGTAAGTGCTATGAAAAGAATTTGGAGATAACGTAGCCACTAGAAAATTCCATGTGTAATTGAAATATTCCTTATGAATTAATATGGAATCTGTGTTTTTAAACCTGATGTGGAATTTGTTCCTCAGTGAAGAGAAGAGTTGAAACATTAAACAACTTTAAATTTTGTAACTAAAATAAGAACAATAATTTATACCGTCATAAATAGTTTTTATAAAATCTTAGTGTTAACACCATGTTTAACTGGTTACTGGCCCACCCATCTAGCACACGTGGTTATTTTTCACTGCCCGACTTCAAAAGCCATTTTAGTGTTTCTAGTGTATTTTGTTATTTAAATTACATTTATTTCATCGTGGAGATAAAAGACAGTGTGAGAGGTCAACATTCTGATTTTTATCTTGGTATATTTGTTTTTAGTTCTTTTATATTATTCACCTTAATTTTTCCCTGTAATAATGCCAACATTTTCAGCAATGTATACTGTGTTCTTAGTTTATAGTCAATAGAAAGCATAATAACGGTAATCACCCTCCTCCTTAATGATAATACATATCCAGTTGTAAGCTACCCTGTGATTCAGTTATGTGCTATTTTGAATTCTTAGCTATTTTTCATTAATTGTTTCAAAGTCTTTTTATGTCGGAGATTGGCTCTTTTGTAGATAATTGTTTGCATCAGCAATGTAGTCTTTTGTTATGGAAGGTTTAGAAGGGGACCAGTATAAACAATTGTGTGCATCAGTGATATAATTTTTTGCTTTTTAGAATGCTAAAGGCAAGTTGATAAATGGGAGCTTTCCCTCTATTTGAAGAACATAGGTTCTTAGCTATAGGGCAAGGGGAGATAGAATCTCTTGTTTTATGGCTATATCATGAATCCTTATAGATGAAAGACATCTTGAAATAGGACATATCATTTTATTTTTAGTCAATATGAAATTGTTATATATGAATTAGAATCAGTCTGAAATTTTATATCTTCCAGAGAAAATCTGATATAGTGCTTTAAAAAATCTGTTTGCATAATAAATTCATAACAAAATTGTAATTTTATCTAATTGATCACCAGACATTTTGGAGAAATTGAGCTAATCTCTAAAATAACTTACTTCTGTCCCTTCTGTGTTTCAAGTAAAAGTATTTTAGTTTCCATGTACTTAACTCTATTAAGGAGTCACTTTTTATAAATGTATTTCCTGTCTCTGTAAGTCTTACCTGCATTAGTTATATGCTGTCACATCAGCACTGTATCATTCTTATAAATGTTGATGGGTTTTTATTTTATATTTGTGGTTTAGCATTAAAATAATTTTTTGAAGGACTGATCTTATTTTCTGGAGCCTTTAAAAATGGAACAATGCTTTATTTGAGCAGGAGAATATTTGTGGCTCTGTTTTATCATGAAGCTCATATATTACAGTATTTTTATGTGTAGGCTTTCAAGTCAGGTGACTAGGGTTCAAATTTTGACTTTACCATTTGTTATTAGTGCAACTTTGGGTGTGTTATTAACTTATTTGTCTACCATTATAAATTGGAAAAATAACTACCTACCTCATAGGATTGTTCGGACTAAATCATATAAAATACAGAGGATGCTTGGCCCAGTTAGGTTGCACACAGTGAGCGCTCAGGGCATAATGGTTTTAGTTATTATGATGCAAGTGGGCTCAGTGATCTTCCTAGGTTATTTCCAAAACCCTAAGTAAATATTCAGAAAACATTTTATATCACCAGTCTTCGAGACATGAATTGTTTAAATAGGGTGTATATTGCTTTGTATTTGAACTACTTTCTACCAGTGAAGTGTTTTATAACAGAGAATTAATTCGTTTAGGTAGTAAAGTGAGACATATTTTACATTTCAGTTGTGGTGATGAAAAACTGATTTTGAGCCATCTACCCAAGGAGCCCTGGTGGCACAGTGGTTAAGCGCTCGGCTGCTAACCAACAGGTTGGTGGTTCAAACCCAGCAGCTGCTCCATGGGAGAAAGATGTGGCAGTCTGTTTCTGCAAAGACTATGACCTAGGAAACCTGATGTGGGGCAGTTCTACTCTATCCTGTAGGGTCCCTCCACGGCAACGGGTACCCACATTCTAGATGCAGTGGCTTTAAACTCAAGTACGTGTCTGCTTAAGTGTGGGATCTCACACCAGGTAATAGAAGCCTGGAAGGGCCCGAGGAGATTACTCCATAACTGGTTGTTGGAGTTTGCCTGACTGCCCTTTCAGTGTTTACACTTCCAGGGGTAACAGTTTTTATTGCCCTTTCTTTTCACATAGAATTAATTAACTTTTATGATGGTACGAAGAAAATTAAGTCATAGCAGTAGTAGGTAAATATTACCGATCTCAGTCAAATAGCTTGTGGCAACTCCTATAGTATTTTTTTTTAGTGTAAAAAATACTTTTTTGTAACACATTTTGAATAAGTAAATTAGGCCCATATGTAATTTCTGTTATGATTTTATCCTGTTTATAATAATTCTTAAGCACCTTGATCACCTTGGATAATTCTCCCAAGTGATCAAGGATATTTGCATATTTTCTCCTCCTCGGGACTCATATTACTTTTATTTTCTACTGGCTGATCCCACTCAATCCAGTGTATTTTTAGAGTAATAACTAAACAAAATGCCTTTTATTAGACATTTTATTAAATATTTATTTCATGAATAAAAGAATTAACAATTGATTAACAAATTAGTGTGAAAAGCATAACTCCAATCTTGAAGTGATGTCATCTCTTCTGAATTTTGGGTTTAGGAATGACTCAGTAAATTCAATAGAAACTTGATTTTGCTTTGAATTGGATAACCATACACATTGGCCAAAAATGACATGTTTGTCTCAGATTTGGCCTGTTCTTTTAAAAAACGTATGCAGTTAAATTCTGTAGGCAGTACAAAACAAAACAAACCTACTCATTGTACAACTTAGAAAAACTTTGCTTTGACTAATATATGTTTTTGGGAACAAGGTATAAATAGATATTTGTATATCAAACAATTAAAAATACACCAAGGGAGTCGTTCTCACTAGTGACAGTGTAATGCAATGGGAAAGTACTCTTTTGATGCCCACAGAGCCGGGCGCAAACCCCTGTTCTTCTGTATGCTCAGGTGATGGGGATGTGTGGATGTGGAGTAACAGTAGACAGTGTTTATTGAGCACTTAGTCTGCCAGCCGCTGTTTTTAATCTGTCTGCTGTGCTGTGAGATAAGGCTGTTATTGTCCCCGTTCTGCTCATGAGAAACTTGCCCAGGGTCACAGAGGTTTAGTAAGTGGTAGAGCCAGGTTTCTAACCCTAAAGGTCTTAACTCCAGAGCCCTCACTCTGACCCACTAGGGACTGCTCTGAGAATCACTTTTACCATGTGTAAAATGGTTCTAATAATGCCTACGATATCTGATTGTACTGTGAGTTGAAGTAAGATAATTTATGTAAAGTGTCTGTCATAGGGTCTGGTACAAATTAAGCATTTAATGAATTTTCTTTGCACTTCTATCAGTGCATACTAGAGAGTCTATTTATGGGATATAATTTTTGTTTTATTACTAAAATTTACTTTCAATGTTCATTCTAAACTATGATTATTTTTATAGACTACAAATCAATTTCAAGTAATAATTTAATGAATTCTTATAGAAAATTCTTTAAAAGAAAAATTGTCTTTTTTTTTTAATTATGGTAAAACACAGACTGATTGACAGAATAGAAGATATATAAAAAGTCAGTGAATCTCA